TAGCCTCAAAGAGAGATCTAGGGCCAAGTCCCTTCTTACTTCATTTCTAAGCTAATTGATAAGGGAACAAATGAGCCAAAGAAGACTAAAGGCACAGAGACCAACTTGCTGGAACAAGCTGAAGAGTCATTCCTCGAATGGTTGTTGTTTGTGGACGAATCCTCCAACAAGCACGACAATGGAGCTGGATGAATCCTAATCTACCATGAGATAGGTAGAGTATTCACTCAAGTTTGGTTTCAAATCCTCCATCAACGAGGCTGAGTATGAAGACCTTTTAGTCAGTCTTCGACTAGCCTACCACTTATGCATCCAACAGCTTTGGGTGTACATCAGTTTGTAACTCATCATCCACTAGGTGAAAGGGGCATATAAGGAGAAAGATGTAAAAATGGAGGCTTATCTAAAGAAGGTACATTATGTGATCAAAAAGTTCACCACCTTCTCATTCGTGCGGATCTCTTGGGAGGACAATAAGCACGCTGACTTTATGGATTTGTTGTTAGTGGTCGGCTAAGGACCACACCATATCCCACACGAGTTCTTGGTAGAACAAAGCTTCAGTGAAGTAGATGGCCAACCCGAGGTCTTTCAAACTGCGGCAGAACCTACATAGACAATCCCTTAACCTCTTACCTCCAGAAAAGTGACCTTTCTTTAAACCACCTGGCAACCATGAAGATAATCCTTAACCTCATCAATAGTACTTTTTACTGTAGGAGTTTGTCGTTACCTTATCTCCGATGTGTAGGGAAATTCATGAAAGCATCTATGGCAACCACTCCGGAGGGTGAGCCCTCTCTCACATAACATTGTAGCAAGGGTACTATTAACCCACCTTGGTGAAAAAAACCCTGGAGTTCATCAAAAGGTGTGGGAAGTGACAGGTTTTCACGTACTATCCTAGGAGCTCAACCCCATTAGTAGCTTGATTAACCATCAAAAGTGATATTTTATTATATTTAATGATTGGTTAATTTTATATTATTAGTGATTAAATGTGTTAGTTTCCTTGATTTTCTAGTTTGATACTTTTTCTCGTTGTTTAGTTTATTTTACAAGTAAATTGATTGATTTAAAGTAATACAAAAGAAGAATTACAATTGATAAGGATTGAAGATAAGGATTGAAAAGTCAAGATTAAGATAGGAATATCTGAAGATAAGGTGACAGTTTAATCCTAATAAGAGTTCAAATTAGAAGAAAACTCATTTAAAGTTGGATTAGGAAAGTATCTTAGAAGATAAGGATTTGACACATCTTCAGTATTTTAGTAATAACTTTTGACTTCGATATCCAATTGACTTGATTTTTATGGGGTTGGAAAGAATATTTCAACATCTACAAAAGTATATTTCATGAAAATTTTGTGAATCGACCTCTAAATATGCAAAATTCAAGCTTAAAGTCTTGATAGATTTTGTACCCACGCCCCCAAGATTTTATGTATCGAATTTAACCTTAAAAGACTTCCTTTTGAAAATGAATTCCTCTCAAGCCTACCCTAGATCTCATACTTATACCTAGGCTTTATTTTAGTATAAATAAGGGTTCTTACCTATTGAGAGGGATGATTAGGATGATTATTATTTTCTTCCTATCTTTTATTTTCTAGTTTTTGTTCTATTTCTATGGCTTGCTAAAAGTCCAACTAAAGTTAGGGGAGATACTTTCAATAAAGCACAGTATTTATTATTGATTCAATGTTTTTTTTAATGTATGATTTATTCTTTTAATTTAATTCTTGTCTTTTACTAAAATTTTTGCTCTATATAATTTCTTGATTCGTTGTGTCATGTACGTCGAAAGCTTGAGATTCCCTGCGAGACAAATAATTAGTTATTTCATGCTTGAATTAATTAATTAGAATTTTTTATAAGATAGTTGATTTATTATTTGTAATAAAATAAGATTTACCCGTTGGAAAGTTTGATTTATCGTAGACTCCGGGCACGGTAAATACTTGTGATCTACAAGTAAATTCTTATATTTATTTAGATAATTTATTAATTATAAATTTTGATGTTTTCATATTATCACCGCTAAATATTCTATTGATATCATTCTTCAGTATTCTCAATTGAGTTCAAAAATTGGATCATTAATAATTGCAGTGAGGATTTGAAAGGGTATCTCCAATGCTTTAGTATTTTCAATCATTGTTTTAAAATCAAATTTATTGTTTTCTAATTTCAACATATCTACAATAATTTTTTTCAAAGCAATTTTGTTTTTTTTTTCTGTGTTCTAAGTTTTCACAATTATCTGTGGTTCGACTTCGAACTTTCAAGTATTATATTACTTCGCGACAACCTACACTTGAGTGATCAATTCTAAAATTGTAGCATAGCTCATGGCTCTTCACCTAGTAGGGGATTGACATGGTGGGTGCCTTACCTCGAGGAAAGAACTAGTGTCATTTCGTCATCATATCCATTGACTACTTCACCAAGTAGTCCCAAGCCAAAGCCCTAGCCACCATTACGGAGAAAAGGATAACAAACTTCGTGTGGAAATTCATCATCTTTAGGTTCAGGATACCACAAACCATCATCTCGGACAACAGGAAGTAGTTTGACTTGAGGGGTTTCAGGGACTTTTGTTCATGCCTAGAAATCAAAAACTTCTACTCTTCTCTAGGCTACCCTCAAGTGAATGGACAAGTCGAGGTTACATACTGAACACTACTGTAGAATATCAAGACCAAGTTAGAGAAAAAGAAAAGNACTTCTACTCTTCTCTAGGCTACCCTCAAGTGAATGGACAAGTCGAGGTTACATACTAAACACTACTGTAGAATATCAAGACCAAGTTAGAGAAAAAGAAAATCTTGTGGATCGAGCAATTACTGGAAGTATTCTAGGCCAATTGAACTAGCCCAAGGAAAGTCCAAGGAGAAACACCCTTTATGTTGGCTTCTGGAATAGAGGTTGTGGTCCCTATAGAGGTCAGACTCCCATCACATTGAACATAGTGCTTCAACCCTGAGCAGAATGGAGTCAAACTTAGAGATCAAACAGCACTTAGATTCTCCTCCTACCAACACCAGACAACTCGTTATAACATCCAGCGACTCAAAGACCGTAGCCTCCAGGCGGAAGACCTTGTGCTCAAAAGAGACGTCTCTAGACCAAAAAGCAGGAAATTGTCTCTTAATTTGGAAGGTCTATATATGGTCACAAAGGTAGTTCAAACAAGAACATACTAACTCCAAACCTCCCAAGGCAAAGAGTTGCCACACGTATGGAACATAAAACATCTCAAAAAATACTATCCCTAGACAATTTTTTTTGGGGGGGATATGGTAAATAAGAAAAAAAAATTCAATATTTAAATGTAAATTCACATGCTACAAGTGCATTTCAAACAACTCTTGGAGAAAACCAAGCAAAACATTATCCAACAAGACAAAAAGGCCCTCACATTTCCCGCGGGATAATAGATTCAATAAGACCAATAAGATCCTCATTTTCTCCACAATCCGAGAACTAATTTCACATGATAAAGAGATTTGGGGAGACCAGTGAAGTCCTCGCTTTCTCCGCCCACCATGATTTAACTCCAAGTCCAAGGGAAAAAGAGATTCGGGGAGACTAATAATGTTCTTGTTTTTTTTGCCCACTGAGAACACAATTCAAACAATTTTGTTGAAGAAAAATTTACATGATCCCTGGGGGCAAGGCTCATGAGGGTGACTACCCCCTTTCATTATTTTATTAAGGCAAATTTTCCCAATCCCTGAGGGCAAGGCTCACAAGGCTGCTCACCACCTCTACCTTGATAATTTTTTCAAGGAAAATTTTTATGTTCCTTGGGGGGCAAATATCACGAGGCTAACCCCCCTCCCCTTTATTATTTTGTTGAGGAAAATTTTCCCAACCCCTAGGGAGTAAGGCTCATGAGGCCACCCATGAGGCCAACCACCCCCTTCATTATTTTTTTAAGACAACCTTGCCTAATCCTTATGGGATAAGGCTCACAAGGATGACCACCCTCTTCATTATTTTGTTAAGGTAAATTTGTATGATCCCTGGGAGGGGGGGTGGCAAGGCTCATGAAGTCGAGCAAACCCTTTCATTATTTTGTTATGAGAAATTTTCACGATTCCTAGAAGCAAGGCTCACAAATCCAACCACCCCCTTCATTATTTTGTTAAGCGAAATTTACCAGATCCTAGAGGGAAATGCTCAAGGGGCCGATCACCCCCTCTCACCGCACTTGTCTCGTTTTCAGGGGAGTAAGGGTTATTAGAATAGAAAACAGCACAAACATAATAAATTGGCCCAATAAATATGAATTTTTCTTTAAAATAAAAATAGAAAAAGTATAACACATGAGTTTTCAAAAATAAAGAAGTAAACAACATCACCCCAAAGAGGAAAGAAAAGACATTACTTCTTCCCCTCATCTATCCCCACTTCGACCTCCGCAATAAGCTGGAGCAAGCTGAAGTCAACATCGAGAAACTTCACTAATGATTCAAATTAAAAAGCCTCATACCCAACTAAGCAATGCGTGGCTTGTGTAATCCTGCCTGTCATCTGACTCCAGGAACTTTTTCATAGCAGTCTCCTCACGAGTCTTTGTTTCCTTCTTATTTGATTCCAAAGTGCGATTGAGCTAAAAAATCTTCTCCTCCAAACCAACACCCTTTTTCTTTACTCTTAATAACCTCATCACCTCAAATATTTTTGCCTCATCATTGGAGCTTTTTCTCTAAAGTGTTCCTTGCCTGGATTGCCTTGGCAGTCTCAATGATTACCTGTTGAAGGATCTTCCCGCTCTTCTCAAGTTTAGCCATTAAGAGAGTCTTAGATTAACAGTGCCTTGTGAATAGATTCATGGTCACATGGTACCCCTAAGAAAAGGAAGAATGGAGCTTGGCAAGCTGCAAGAACGAGAAAGTAAGCCCCTAAAAAGAAAACTAACAAAGTGAAAGGAAGAAAAAAATGGTAAATGAACTAATCCTCACTCATTTCTTATAAGCCTGAGCATGAACCTCAATCGGACCGAGCTCTTGGAACTTCTCCATGGCCTCCTTGGTTACCCTGAGAGTCCTCGGAGATGGCATGAAGACTAACCCTTATCTCCAAAGTAGACTTCTGATGGCGGAGATCGCTAAAACCAATGGAAGAAAGGAGTGAACTGCTTGAAAGGTTCACAACAGGAATTGGGACCTCGTGCCCCCCTCGCAATTGAGTCTAAGGAGCGTACTCAATGGGAGGACCTCAAAGTTTACCCTCAGCTAAAGTCCTGTCACCAGGAAGCTCCTCCAAAGAAGCGCTTGCAAGGATAGCAATAGCCCAAACTCTCAGGAGCTTGAACTTTTTTAGAGGAAGAAGCTTAGATCCCCCGATCATCTACTTGGCTTCAAGGTAGCAATAACCTGCTTATCCAAAGACATACTAGACAACTCTGTTAGCAAGGAAAGTGTCAATACAAAGAGAGAGAGAGAGAGAGAGAGAGAGAAGGGAGTGGTATTGAGAGGTGAACTTGCTGGAGGAGCCTCCATTTGGGCTAAAGTCCAAATCCCCGGACAAGAAGAGAAACTTAGATTTCTAGTCCTTATTAGAGTAAGGTACACCCAACCCAAGCTTCGCGACCTTATTTTGAGGGCTAAAATAAAAATATTCTTTCTGCTGACACTCCTTGACCTTGAAGCAGTACTTAAGCCTCCATGAAGACATATAGAATAACGACCTTGGTCGCTCAATCGCCAAAGGGCCATAAGACCGGTCAAGGTCCTCTGTACGTTAAGAACAAGCTGGTAAGGGGACAGTCCGAACCAGGAAAGGACCGACCTAATGAAAAGGGGAACAAGGAAATGAACGCCTTTTTAAAAAGTCAACATTGGAAAACACACCTCCCCATAGGAAATCGAGCAAGCTTGCTCGTTGGCATGAGGCAAACGAAGCTTGACAGTCCCAGGGATCACATGTCTTGATACTAAAGCAATCAATTTTCTATTTGTAAGGCTACACTCTACTTCATGGGCCTCCTATAGGGAAGCCTTGTCGGTCAACTAGGAGCCTTCCCCAACGCTCATATCATCCAACTCAACCCGTTTTGAGTCGACATCAGAATCAGAAGAGTTGACCAACACCTCCTCATCACTATCAATAGCCATCCTAGCCCCTGAGGAAACCAAATGATGACCACCACGAGCATGAAAAGGCCTCAACAACTTTGGTAGGGGGTTTTTTGTTGAAGAATTTTCCTAAAACTAGAGGTTTCCCAACCTTGTGAAGAGGAAAGGGCGTTGAATGAATTCCCTTACCCAAAAAAAGATGCTTGGAAATGAGTAGAGAAAAATAAGGAAATCGCTCACCCCTTTAACCCAGAAGAAGCACTCCTTTTAAATGAAGTCCAAAAAACAGAAAGTGACCAGAACTCCCCCCCACACACACACACACATATATAAGAAGGGATAATGGCTACGATCACTTTGATCCAACGAATAGGAACCAATCGTCAAAAGGCACCCAAAAGTTTGTAACACATGGTGACGTGGGAGCCATTAGTCGAAAAGACAGAATTTATGGAGCCATCATAGTATGCCACAAGAGGCGCCACCTGTCTTTTCAAATTTCAAAAAATAAAAATCGTCATTTAAAAAAAAAGTAACCACCAAGAACCAATATGATAGGATAATTCCGAGTACCATAATTCCCAATGACTAAGCTATTTTAGGGATAAGTCTCATTGATTCTTCGGCAATCATCACCTACACTTGATGAAACAGAAAACTACCTAACTCGTCTGATGAGCTACTGACACACGTTCGGCCCGGGCGAGCATGACAACATATCAACATCACTTAGAAGACACTTAATCCCCATGCCTGTTAGTAGCGATGTTCTCTTAAACCAATTTACACCCAAAAGCACTCTATAAAAACCCTTAATGAACGAGGGAATACAAATACTCTCAGATTCTTTATTATTTACACTTCATCTTTTGCACTGATTTGAGTGTCGAAGGTAGTTCGATTGGCAGTACATAGGTGCCCTCTTCGTTAGTTCCTTCCTTGACAGGATAATAGTCCCTAGATTCCAAGGAACACTAGACCATCGCTTTAGTGGCTTCGCCTAAACACCTCAATCTAGCGCCTTGCCCCTTCAAGCTCACAGGGACTAATAATCAATTACCAAGGAAATTTCAACGATTAAATTTGTCGGGGAAATCGTGGAGCAGTTATTTGACACAACCAAGTTTCCTTTAGTGAAAATGTTGTTGGACTTCATTTGGTGATTTAATATGATAACTTAATTTAATGCAATTTAAAAATTGTATTAAATTAAAATTTATAATTAATTTAATAATTATATTAAATTAGATCTTTAAATTAAATTCTTAAAACGACAAAATCTACCAGGGAGATTCATGCTGGAAAAAAGGGGAAAAAATTCCCTGTGTCCTGCCCAAGGAAAAGAAATTAACCGTTAGAAGATCATCAACACCTCCAACGCCTTGCTGTTTTGAAATAAGGAAATGTTATCAGTCCAACGGCTAGTTTCCAATTAGTATTCTTTTCCTCTTCTTCCTCTCTCTTCAAATCTAATATCTCATCGGCGTTCTGGGGTTTTCCATCAGTGCAGATTAGGAGAACACACCGCTGCCCAGTCGATAAATTGTGATACAAGTAGAGAAAGATTGATTGATTCAAGGTGTCCGGGATCGAGTAATCAATTCCATGGTGCAAATTAATCGGGGGATTTTTGGTGAACTGCTCCATTAGTCGTTCATCTTTCTAACAATTGGTTTACGGTAACCATTATAGAGTCGATTTCAGATTTGCCGATCGATCCATTTCCCTTTACTCTAATTGCCTTGCCATTATATTTTCTCGTCTCGGGTGAAAATGAACGATTCTATCGCTGGAGTAGTTGGTGCATCTACTCTAGAGCCGCAGCAGGAGGCCGCGGACACCATCGCCTTGGCGGTTCTTCCTCCGACTCACCGCCGGCCAAGAGTGAGGGAGGTCAGCTCTAGGTTCATGTCTCCGGTGGTTTCTTCTTCTTTTTCCTCTGGTGATCTCCATCTCCTCTCTTCCAAGTCGCCTCTTACGAAGCACCCCGTTTCAACTCCTATCCCTGCAGAATTTCAAGCAAGGCAGCAGCGCTCGAAATCTGTGCTGAGTCGACGCCTGGAACAGGAGCCGCTAAGCCGTGCCGACCAGAACATATCTGAGACAATTCGGAGCTTGGATACCCCGTTGGGATCACAGACACATTCTAAAGCGGTGGTGTCCGTACAGAGGAAGCAGCGTGCTGCCGTGAATCTTTTTAAGGAGAACGGGGGGGACAGAGTGGGGGAGCAAAATCCGCATCAACAGAAGAAAGGTGTTGCACAATTAAAAGGCTTTCTTGGTGGAAAGTCTTCTGGGAGAAACGAAACTGTTGCCCCCTCAAGGCCCGATACACCAACATTGAATGCCACAGATAGGATTATCCCATCAAGATACAGGCTCACATCCCAAAATTTTCAGCGTCCAACCAACATCAGTGGAGCAGTGACCGCCGCTACCAAGTTATTGCGAGCAAATGAGATGTCATTGTCCACTGAGCCCTCAAATTTGGACATCGGGGTCAGTGGCAATTCATGCCCACAAGCCACATTTGTTCCTGGAAATCATTGTACAGTGGGTCTCAATGACGATGATGACCAAGTAGTTGCACAGCACCTGGCTAGAATCGTAACATTCAAAGATTCAGGCTCGTGCACTGGCACTAGTCAGCTGAATTCGTGTAGTAATTCCCCTGTTCCCATCCAAAAAATCAAGGCATGTTCTCTGTCAGATTTGCGCTCTTCCTTGCCGGAGGTGGATATGTTGCCCACTGTATCAACCAGATTGCTAGAAGAGAGAAGTTGCAGCACCGCTCACATCAGTGAATGTGAATCTTCAAAGTTCTCTGCTTCCTCTTGCTTCCGTTCTCTGACGTTGCCACTGTCAAGCTCTGAACACTCCTCCCTCTTGCATTCTCTCAAATCCAGTGAGAAAACAGCATCTGCTCTCTCCAGAGCCTCTACAAACTCTTCAAAGATGCGAAACTTTTGTCTGCCTCCACACCCCACGTGCATAAAAGGGGGAGCAGATACAAGGAAAGGAAGAACGGTTCTCAATCATCCAGAAGAAGTTCATTCCTTGAAATTGCTTCATAACCATTATCTGCAGTGGAGATATGCAAATGCAAAAGCAGAGGCCTCCATGCATGCTCAAAGGAGGGAAACTGAGGTTTGTTACGATTTAATATGAGATTGATGGAGATGGATGGTATCCCGTCTTATAATTACATTGGTGATATTTTGACCCATTTTGGTCTTATATGACTCCCTATTACTATCCCAGAGTATATGGTTAGTTAAGTTTAGATATTTAAAAATGAATTATCCACGGCCTTTCATTTATTTTGGCGTGAAATAGAAAGAATTGCATGGATTTTTGGTGACATTATTTGATTTTTTAACTACTTATCAAGCATAGAATATAAGAAAATGGACTAGATTTGGATGTGATTATGTGGTGACACCACGTGTTTATTGTCTGGGGGAGATAGCCTTCTGAGATTGAAGAATTAAATTATATATTATCCCTTTTGTTTTGGATGGTATTCTTGAAATATCTCAAAAATAGCCCCTTACATAGTACTAAACTCAAGATGGTCCCCCGAGTTCTTATATTCTATCTTTCTTGTACTATAATTGCCTCTCCTTCCCCTCCTTCCATTTTGGAAATTCTGGCTTCACTGAGGCCTGCTTAGGTCATCAGTTCTTGATGAGCAATTAAATTCCCCTTTTATCTTGTTTTTCCGTTCTATTATGATAATCAGACTATATGCACTCTCTCTGTGGGTATCACAATATTTTCAACGTGTTTTTAATTTAGTTGTGGGAGAATTTGATCCAAACGTGTTTAGTTCCTTTTCCAATATTGTTATCTAATCTTGGTGTCTTTTTGTAGAGAGAACTTTATTCTCTTGCAACTAAGATATTGGATTTACATAGTGCCGTGACTAGAAGACGCATTGAAATTGGGTTGCTGCAAAGAGTAAAAACTTTATCTGCAATCCTTGAAGCTCATGTAAGACTACTATCTTGATAATGTTTTAATTTTCCTTGGATTGGTGTCTAATTATATGTATACTGTATTGATCCTTAAATTGATGTCTTGTATGAATGCTATAATGCTTTTTGGATTGATTTCCTTATTATATGCCATCTTGTTAAAGCCTATCTAACTAGTTAATTATAGGTGGAAATCCACAGGCGATAACTGTCCTATACTTGGTACATGGCCAAAACGCATTTTCCAAATGATTTTCCTCATTGAAGTATCATATTGATACTTGAAGTTTGTGTG